CCCCAAAACCCCAAAACCCCAAAACCCCAAAACCCCTATCTCAAAAATCATAGTTGAGAGTTTTATAGGTCATCATTAGTTTCCTTAATCTTTGATTTGTTACTCTTTGATTTCTTCTTTGGCTGATCTAAAGATGTTAATCATTAGTTTACCTTTAAATATGGGCTCTCCTTTCATTGCAGCATCAAGTCCGTTGTCCAAAAAGAGTCTGATATTCTCCTGATTAATTTCTTTGTCAGTTGGAAAAACAACCGTTACATTATTTGGAGGATTAAACAACGCGAATTGAGGCATCTCTTCACCCTCTATTCCTATCAAATTTTTCTTTGCATCATAGCTATTGTTATCAAAATATCCGAATAAGAAATATGGATAGTCATATGCAACCTTACGAATGACTTGGAGCAGCTGGTTAGACCTCTCTACGTACTTCTTCTTTTTCACATCCACAAATGCTACATACATTGGCATATGCATACTCTCCATGATTTGGACTGAAAACACATTCATTTTCTCCAAGTGTTCTATACTGGCTGAGTTTATCCAATATGAAAGATGTACTGTCTCAGAAGAGAGGTCATAGTAATTCAGTGGACTCCCTGAAGCTTTAGAGCTGCTAAAGACTACCATAGAGTTGGTAGATCCTTCATCAAACCACTTAGTTCCCATTTCCTCTTTATATTCCATGACTAAATCTTTGTTCACTATTTTGGCAATCCGGAGGTCATCTCTAAACCCGAGTTCTTTAGCTGCTTCTTTGAGCTGTTTCAGCTCATATTGATGCTCTTTCTTATCAGAGACAAAGGCGATGACTCTTGTGACCTTCTCCATCTCATCGAAGATCCTTCCAAGTTTACGGTATTTGCCATTATAGAGGGGTGTGTTCTCGACCCATTCCTTTGAAGTGTCCTGAAATTCTTCAATATCTTCCCTCGTCTCCAATGCAACTACTGGGAAGAGGTGTCGGTTCAGGAATGAAATGAACAGATCGAGGTGGCACCCTTTTTGATACTCATAAAGTGTTCCCTTGAAATAAATAGAAATTCTCGGATGAGTTAGGGAGGGAACCTCCCTCCTGACTATCGGTAGCTCCTTCTTTTTGTATGCTAGCTCATTCATAGCAAAAAGTTTGAAGACTTTGTCAATCATTTCCTCTGCTTCGAAACATTTCTCACAATCGTAAGAGGCTTCTGCTAGGATGAAGGCTTTAAAAGTCTTCTTATAGTAATCCATGGTGTATTCTGTATCTATGAAGTGGATTCCAACAGTCAGGATCCCGGGCCCTTGTTCTTCTAAAGATTATGTGAGGAGATTACCTTCTTCATCTTGATCTTCAGGGTCATCTTCTCCCTTTTCAAAAGACTTGACGCTTTCGTATTCTGAATTTTCCTTTAAGAATTCCTCCATTTGTTCATCCAGGTCCGGCGGATTGATGATTATTTGGCCTCCAATAATGCCTAGGAGCTGTAGGAAGACCAGCAGGTACAGAATTTTTGTATTAATATATTTTGAGGTTGCCATTTTGTTAAAAATTCTAGAAATCTTCAAAAATTGGGGTTTTGGGGTTTTGGGGTTTTGGGGTTTTGGGG